TATGGATACAATTTTTCGTTCACGTTTTCGGGCGTACGGTTCAACCGATTTGAATGGTTCAAAAAAAATTCGATTCCTATTGATAAGAAGATGTGCTGATTAGTATTTGGCAAAGGCAGGTTCAGCAGTTACGGAGATAAAGAGCAAAGAGTGCAGAAAATAGAAATCGAGTTTTTGAGAGAACGGAGCATCCGACTTGAATGATCTAAAAAACATTCAATTAATAATGATTGGGAGAAGTGGTTATTAGTGGCAAAGGCAGGCCCAGCCATTTCGAAGATATGAGCTAAATTTACAAAAAATGGCAGTTTTTGAGAGAACGCTTAGCGTCCGATTTAATTGATTCAAAGAACTTTCTGCTTGTCTTGACAAAATAATTGATTTTGGAAAGAAAAAATTTTGTTTCAACTTTTTTTAATTTTTTTTTTTTTTAATTTTTTGTATATCGAAAAAAATTCAGATTTTATTTTTAATTCTGACTATAGTTCTAATATACTTTAAACAAATAATTTCAATTTTGCAATTCAGTTTATATAATTCTTATAAATATTAGACAATGTTACAATACTTTTAATAATCTATTTGAAAACATTCAGTATTCCTCGAACATTTCGTTACGATACTGGAAGTTCCAGCAATTTGCCTTAAGCCACGAGGCCACACACCGCACTAGTTGTTTATATGTTTACTAGGCGCAAAATTTGTATATACCAACATTTTAAACATACTAAATATTATTATAAAAATAGTTATATTATGCGTTTTGATATACATACATATAAATTATAAAGCAAAGCTCTATTTGTAGCATCCTGTCAAAACTATTAAGAAATTATTACCGTTTCATTAAGAAAATAACAATATTTAAAGTAAATAATTTAAGTAATGCAATATACAAAAAACAATTTCATATAATTATTGAAATTAAATATAGTCATGAGGTAGTTGTTAAATTTTATATCAATTTAAAATTTGCAAAATATTCTTTCAAATTAGTTTATCTAATGTGATAATCGAAAACAACTTATCTAATATAAGATATTAGTTAGTTATAAGTTTGTCAAACAGATTGCTTCTAGATTAGTGGTGTTTGTTCATCAAGTTTTCTTAATCGTTTTATTATTCACTTTCAATATTTAATACACACAACTCTTTTATTCACTTTTATTTTGGACAAATGCTAAAGCAATAGTTTCATTTTTCAAGCCCCATTAAAGAATATTGAAAGCATAAAATACAAGTACATGTAATAAATGAAAAAGGTTATAAATATGTAGGGTATAGCAAGGCCCAAAGGTCCGAGGTTAAAAAGCTCCACCACGGCCAAAAGCTCTATTTGAAAAACCGCAAGTAAAATTAAGATTTTTTTAACAACAATATTTTTGTAGAAAGTAGAAGGAAAAGGATGTATAAATAGCTATCAACTTGATTCTTGTTTGAGACTTGAAACGTTGCAATTGAGAGAAAAACCGCAATTTTGAAAATCCATAACACAAGTTTTTTTTTCGTTGTTATTTGTTTTGGTTGTGAGCACGGTTGTTTAGTTTACGAGACCTTGCAATTTGACAAGAGAAAAATTAAATAAATAATTATTCCAATTATGCTGATGAATATTTCAGACAAAATACAAGATCAAGATTGTTTACCGTGTTATCTTTGTAAAAAATGCACCATGAAATTTATGTTTTTTATGTTTATGAATCTTCTGAATAACTTAAAATTTAAGTCGATCTGACGGCAAATTTTTAGAATTTTTCAAAATACATTTAAAAATAAAACAATATTTGTGAAATATTATTTTATTTGAATAAAACAAAATGAATATGAAACATTTAATAAGTAATATGTACTGTTCATTAATAATAATTTATAATGATATTTGAACAAAGAAGAAGATGACAGATAATCATAAAATTGTTGAACAAACTTTCAGCACAAAGTTATAGAAATTTTACAACAAATATTATTATTTATTGACCTTTAATTATATTTGATGTTTTTCATATCTATATTAAAATACTAAATTTATTTAACTTAGTTATTTAAATTTAATCTATTTAACTTTATTACCAGTTTTAATGTCGAAAATAGTTTTCACTACATTATTACCAGTTTGTCAAGATATACGAAACTGCTAAAAATATATTGCAAAACTGCATTTGAGGATATTAGTTTACGTATTATTTCGGAATTCTAGATAATCGCAAATGCGTACTAATATACCAAGATCATAGGTCAGAATATTACTAAGATTACAAGTTATCTTGTATAAAGATAAAGTAATGCAAGAGTTGAAGAAAGAAATTGACAGATTTACAATAAAATCTGTGCAACTGAAAACAAAATATTATTGGAAACATTCAATATAAAATAGTTGGTATTGGTATTTTGCCTTGAAGCATGTTGCATAAACTTCCCGATAAAAAAGCAAATTTTCAAAAATCAATAATTTTTATAATTGAACCAGTTTCCATAGAACTTTAATGGTTTAGTATGTTCATTAAGACCAAGTATTCTATCGTTATACCAAATAAATCGTCTAATTTTAATTTTAACAAACGTCAAAAAAACTACTCATTTTCTCAAACTTTGATGAATTTTTAAAATCAAACTACTTGTCGTAAGGCCGTAATATTTCAGTAAGCTCTATAAGACAATGATATCGTATATCGCTAAAAAAAGTTCCATAAAAATCGGCTTAATTTTTTTTTTCAACAGTTAATTACAAGAAAGTGGCTCGGTAGATTTTCACCTGAAACTAATCAGTGTCATGCCCAACTAATATCTTTCAAACAGTTTATGATTTTTCAAAATCGATTAGGTAGTATGAGCTTAAATGTGGACGAAACGTTTAACAATTTTTTCCAAATGACAAAGAAACGGTTTGGCAGATCGTCGCCAGGCAAAGATAGGCCTCATAGAGAATACGAATATATACATAGGTATATGGTATATATCATACATCAAATGGCTTTTAAATTTCTGAAATCAGTTCAGGCGTTTTTGAGAAAACGTCGATGAAAGGTCTAAATTTGACGAATGCCAACAAAAACGATATCAATTTTTGTAAACTTTGACGAATTTTTAAAGTTTAACGAGTTGTCGTAGGGCCGTAATATTTTAGTATGATCTAGAAGACTATGGTGTCTATCGTCAAAAAAATAATAATAAAAATAGTCGAAAAAAATTTTTTTAACACTTTATTACAAGAAAACGGACCGACCGATCTCTACCAAAAACTAATCAGCACGATTTCCAATTAAAATCTTTCGAACGGTTTTTGAATTTTCAAAATCGATTCAGAATTGCGGGCTATAACGTGGACGAAAACTTTTTCACTTTTCAGCGATTTACAAAGAAACGGCTCGGCCGATCGTAGCGCAAAACTGACAAACGATAGTCCTCATCGAGATACATCGAATGGCTTTTAAATTTTTGAAATCGGAGAATCAAAAAAAACATAAAATTAGCGAATCGGATTTTTTTATGAAAACATAAACTTCTCCTTCGGGAAGTTAAAAATATAATTCATGAAAATTACATCAATATATTTTTATTTAAAATTATTATTAACTAGTGGTGTATGGCATTGTGCCTTAAGTCAAATGGCTGTAACTTTTTAATAAAGATTCATTTTTTTAAACTGAATAAATTTTATTTTTGAGAATTTTGACATTTTTGAAAAATGTCCGTTCTCTTAAGAACTGAATTAAAATTTTTGGCACTTTTTGCCCCGTATTCCCAAAACGGTTGGATCTGCCTTGTCCAAAAACGTCTCCTTATATCAATAGTAATCGAATGCTTTTTGAATCATTCAAATCGGTTGAACCGTATTCCCGAAATCGTCGACGAAATTTTATATCGAAACACACACAGATCAATTTTTTTTAAGGTATGCCAAAATGATCAGAAATCTCTGCAACGCGAAGATATGCAAAAATTTTCATTTTCGATTTTAGACGATTACTACAACTTACCCTACGGGAAGTTAGTTCGACTTCGGGCGCACAGATATATTTAAAAAAAAAAATCGATTCCAGAGCTGAAGATGCTAGGAAGTACCCTATCTTAAAAAAAATCCTTCACTAAACTCCGTATCACACTTGGATCAATTGCTACAACATAAAATCACGTATTATACTTTCAACTTTTCGACGATTCTCGTTATTAAGCAGATCGAACGATTTATTATTATTATTTTCTTATTTGAGAACTGTACTCTGAGAACAGAATGTGAAGGAAATGTTTTGTAAACCATAATTTCGCAGAAAAAACGCCGAACACTAATTTCAAAATGTTACAGATATGTGAGCATCGCTGTAATAATTTAAAAAAATAATTTAAAAAAATTATTGCGCGAAACTTTTCTAACCACCATGACGGCGATTTTCGTAAAAACGGCTTCAACGAATAGAATTTTATTTTGTAATATTTGTTACTATCTGAACATACTTTAAATAATTTTAAAATTTCGACGAAAAAAAATCTAAGGTAGAAACAAATCTTGAATGTAAGATACAGCGACACTTAATCTATAATATATGTTTTTGAAATTATGTTGTATGTTTCCTTGTTCTTAATGAGAAAAAATTATAAGTCAAAATGTTTCTAAGAATAAAATAATGAAAAATCGAATTGCATAAATTTTTACATTGCATATATTTCCTTTTAAATCTAAATAAGAATCAAGGATAATATTCTGATTCAAAATGTAAAGAATAGTGTTATTGGAAGTAAAGTGTTAAAGATAAGATAACTTTCATCAAATATAAGAACAAATTTCTTGACAAAAAACACTTGGATTAAAATCAAAGAAATGTGAACTTTCAATAGAATGTTCGGTAACCAGGGTTCTGTGAAAAAATATTTTCTTATGATAGATAACGAATGTAAAATATGTTAAAAAAAAAAATGTAAGTGCCAGTTATTAATCTAAAGATTTACAGACACCGAACACTCCATTACCGAGTTTTTGTTATTATTGTGTTTATATAACTAACCTTCAATTGTTGCTCTAAAACCCCAAGAATATCCAGTCTTACGGTCTCTACTTGCTCTTGTAATTGATGTTCTGCTTGATCTAATATTTCTTGAATTAAATCATCAACCTAAAATGAAATATATACACATATATATATATATATATATATATATACACACATATATATATATATATATATATATATATATATATTAATTGTTTAATATGAACAAAACAGCACTCAGATTTGTTTAACACAACTTTATTTTATGATTACAGACGTTTCGAGACCAATCAGTACTGGACCAAAGTACTGGAGTACTGTGTCAAGCATTGCAAGGAATAGTTGGTGTTTTTTGTATATCAAAAATTAAATGAAATTTAAATGAATTATTAAAGAATGTGTAGTATATAAGTAACTGTTTTTGAAATTACACTGAAGATGAGACACACCATGGTCTCGAAACGTCTGTAATCATAAAATAAAGTTGTGTTAAACAAATCTGAGTGCTGTTTTGTTCATATAAAACAATTAATATTCGTTCCACTCATATCATAAAATTCTATAATATATATATATATATATATATATATATATATACATATATATATAAGTTCTATAACTTTATATTATTTTCCTCCTGCATCATATAAAATCTTTTAGTTTTTTCACTGAATGACGGTCTCGATGGAGACCGAAACGTATGGATAAATAAAGTATTTCAAACTACTTTAGTTTTTTTTACTTGATGTTACTGCCTGATTCTAAATAACTCATCAAAATATATATCAACACCAAACTCACATATTTCAATATATATATATATATATATATATATATATATATATATATATATATATATATATGTATATATATTCTATTATAGTAAGAAAAATATTGATTTTGCTCACCTTTTTAGGATCTTGTTCCAAAAGCATGTTAAATTTAAGAGCTGCTAATTCACAAATAAAATGTAATTCAATAGTTTTCAGATGAGAAGCATGTCTACCAGTTATTTGACTTAAACTTTCATTAAAGGAATTTTGCAAAACTTCCCAATTTTGATTATTTTCAGGCCTGTTGTTGAAGTTTGTATTTTGTGCAAGTGTTTTAGCAGGCTACAAATAACAAAAAAAAATTAATATAAGGATTTACATTAATTATCATTAATGTGAACCAAACAATAAGATTCATAATATCATTAATATAAAAATATCATACTAGAATAATAAAACAAAGCAAAAAGTATAAAGCAAGCAAGCGACTGTATAATATATAATTTATGTAACTTTGGAAATATCAAAGGTAAATTTAACAACATGCAATATCTAGCCATTAATAAGTATATATGAATTGAAAACTCCTTATTTAAACTTACTTCCAGGTTGGCATTTGCAGCATCACCAGCACCTTGTTCATCGCTTTCGAGTGTACTAATAACATTATTGCCCTGATATTTCTCAGGAATATCAGGATTGTATAATAAATCCCCTATGTCTCCATCTAAAGAAGAATCTACCGATACACGTTGACTTTGCTGGCTAAATATTTCCTCAGAATAACTAAAAATTATGCAATATTAGTTAGCAATAAATATCAAATACAATTAATGTGAACAAAATACAAATAATCTTACTGTTTTTCCATATCTGCACATTTTTTTTCAAAATAAGTTCTGAGATCTTCCACTTCTTTCTTATGCTGCTCTTGAAGATGTTCCTTTATTTGTAAGATATCAGTACCCGAATCTTTGAATTCACATAAAGCTTGGCGCAATCGACTTATCTGTAAGGATTTAGAAGATATTTACAAAATTTATTACATTCATGTGCTATTGGATGTGTGGGCATATAATACTATTATTTAATTTATTTATTTAAAAGTTTTGTGGATCAAAAACATTATGATAATTATGAACAATAAAGAAATATTTAGTTCGGAATACAAAATTATAGATGTTGATGGTTTAATTGAACATAAAAACTAAATAAAAACAATAGTACCTCATTTTCTAATTCTTGTTTCTCATTTTTTAAAGTATCTTGTAAAGTACGAATTTGTTCTTCATATTCCTGTTTTAGCTCATCTTTTTCATGTTTTAAAAGAATTTCAAATTTATATTTTATATCATCAAACTCTAATCTTTGAATTGGAGTTAAATCTTTCGCAAATTTTTGTAATTCACTGTTAACAAGCACACGACTTATGTGTGCCGATTGCAATACTCTCATTACATCTTCATTATATTTTTTATCCTCCATACTTTCAGTTGACGGCGATTCTTTAGAAGAAGTTTTAGCTCTTTCTACTTCTGCCAATTTTGTCCTCAACTGATCCAATTCATTATGCAAATTAGAAACATCTTTGTTTAATTCTTTCTGAACTTCCATAGACTCTTGTAAAGATTTTGTTAATGTTTGTATAAACTCATCTTTTTCATTTAAGGCACTTTGGTAATCAAAATTTTGCTAAAAATTCATATTTAATTAGTATTTTTGTGTTTACATTAAATCATATATATCATAAATAATAAACTATAAAATATTATTAGTAATAAAATACAATGCAACCAAGGTTTTGAAAATCGTGTCGACTTTTAAGAGCAGTTAATGCAAACAATTTCTCAAACTTAATTCTCTGTACCAAAGTCTGCTGCAGTCTAACTATACTTTTTATTTGCAGTATGTTAGATGAGTTGCTACTTAAATTGCACATTGTATAAGTTCATTTGAGTAACACATGTGTTTATATACTTCTTTGTTGTCATTAAATATGGTAAACTTATGTTTTGATTTCTAAATTGATCTTTTCAATTGGTGTGTAGTAAAGTAAAATACTTTTCAAATTAATATTTGAAATAAAAAAAACTTAATTACTATTATCCAAGATCATGTTTTAAATAATATTTGTTACAACCGTATCCAAATTTGTCATTCTTTGCATTAAAAATGTTAATATAGAATGGAATAGAATCATCCTTTGTCCAATTATTGGAGTTTTATAAATTTACAAATAATGTATTCAAACTTGGAAGACATACACTTAAATGTTGACAAATATTTGACAAAATAAAATGAAACAAATATAGTATGTTCGGCATTAAACTTTCCAATTACATTGACTGATATGCAGAACTTCGAATATCTATTTATTTTATATTTTAATATAATATGTATTATATTAAATAAAAACACAGTAATATCTTTAAGAGACATTTGATAATAAATATATGGATAAGAAAATACTTATTGCACATTATGACGCTCATATTAAACAATTATTCAATTTAATAAAAAAAAATGATACATGCGATTTAAATATTAAATATTGTGGCATTACTCTTGCAGTAAACTCTTCACATAAAGCTTTGTATTCCGTTGAAGTTGTTCCTGTATCAATTGAATTGAGCAGCGACTGCATCAAATTTCCGTCACAACCACTGTTGTTTAAATCCAAATTTTGTGGGTCCACATTGCTGAAAGAGTATTGGCATTGTGATATAGTTTTGGGTGTATTTATATCATCTTTCACAGATATAGTTTCAAAAACACGCTCATTTTCATTTTGTTCATCAGCTTTACTATTTTCACCTATAAAAAAACACACCAATTTATATTGATATGTAAATAAGATATATAAATAAACTTGATATATATTATTAATATTATCAATGTCTACTAAAATAAACGTATGAAATACACCTAAGTCTGTTTTACACGGTCTTTTTGTACACGGTTTTGATATAACACGGTTTGAAAATTGAATATTTTTAATTTTTTTACATGAATTTATTCCATTTAGCACGATTTGAAATTTTATGTACCTAAATTTTTTTTGTCAAATTAAATTTTTGCGAAGTATGTTTATGTCACAAAAAAGTATTTATGAAAGAAAAAAGTCTGAAACCATCGATAGTATCGATAGTTTGCGAACACTAGCTTAAAGATTTAAGTGAATTCCCCTTTAGCGCGTACAAACAATTTTTACTGATCAAAGCAAATGTGAATAGCACTAATTTAATTCTTGTTCTTAAAAATTCTTGTTTTTCACCAATTTTAATAGGTTTTAGAGATTAGGAACAAATCACCCATTTTTGTACAAGATCAATGTCTTTTTTTACACGTTTTTTTTTTACACGGATTCTTCTGGAACCAATCTCCGTGTAAAAACAGACTTAGGTGTATATATTATACTAATATATTTTAGTTATATATTAGAATTCAGCCATGGCCAGAGTAAGTGCATAAATTATACTAACAGTATATAATATGTAAATGTATTATTAGTTGAGATTAAATGTATAAATATCATTATCATTTTAATATAAGATATTTCAAATTGAACTTAAAAGTCTATAAATAGTTAACTTCTCTGAGAAAAACTTAATCTAATAAATAATTGTGGAATGTTACCAATGTTAAAGTTTGTAAAAAATAGAATGTAATATTTATAATTTAAATGGATAATGAGTAATCCTACCTAACATTACACTTTTTAAATTCAACATTGGAACTGTAGGAATGGTTGCTTCATCTAATGATCTGCTTTTTTTAATCAATTCAATTTTTTTCTCATTAGCACAAACAAGCGAATGAAATTTTCTATTGTACTTTGTAGCATTACTAAAATCTACTTCATTCAATGATTCATTTTCAAGATCAACTTCACTGACATTGAATTTTATTTCAGGGCTTAACTGCAATTCAAATGTTACTTCAGGACTAAATTCTTTAGATATATGAGTAGGGCTATTTAATGGTGATTTTGTAACGGAAAACTTCACTGAATGATCACTTATTGAAGGTACTCCAGTTTCATATAATTCAGTTTTAGGTATCTCAGTCACTTCTAAGCTCTTTGCCAAACAATTTCGTTCTAAGCTAACATTTTGAATATCTTTATCACTTGAATGAGATTCTGTTAAAATTTGTTTTATGTCTTCTGATATAGAGCTTTCCGTACTCTCCATTTTTGGTACATCTAATGGTAAGTTCTTCAATAAATCATCAATTGAACCATCAATTTTATCTGAATCGAAGTCGTTATCCAATGGATCCATAATAATATTGTTAAAAACTAAACATTTTCATAACCTCAACTTTTATAATCAATAATCTGAAATAAAATTAATATGTACAAAAGTAAATACAAATTTAGATATGTTTGTTTTAGAAGAAGCTACACAGTAAAATTGTTATTGATTGAATTTATTTCAAATTATTTAATCAATACAAAATCACCTTTGGCATAATATAAATAATATAAATTAAATGCAGTCATAACACAATATTACTTTATACAATCAAATATGACTATATCAATTATATTAAAAACATCAACTAAGGCAATCATTTTAAGTATTTATAATTCTATTTTTATACAATATACATATTTAAGCATCAACACAACGAAAGAATAACATATCAAATACAAGTAATCATACATGAAGTAGTCTACAGGACCAAAGAATTTACTTCATTAGATACATTAGGAAGATACCGCACTGAAGACATTTCAGCTATTTATTACAAATTTACATGATGTAAAAGTGAACTTTATCATAAAAAGAATTAATGAGCTCACATAATCATTAAGTATATTTTCAGCGCAACGGAGCTAAATAATACAATAATTTAGGATGAATCCGATTCTAGGCGCAATCCGATTTAAATTACTGGATACCCATAATAACAACTGTCACCGATTAATTGTATTACTTAAACTAGTGGTGAATAATGCAGGTGAATATCATTTTGCTTTAATAAAAATTGCTAGAACTTTGAATTTATTAACGTCTCCTTATCTCAGACAACGACAACCGGTACCGACCTTCATCAGAAACTAATCAACATAATCAATTCCAAGTTTCAATAATAATTAAATACTAACTTTGAATTAGTAGATGTCATCACTTGGCTAATTTGTTATTTCAATAATCGAATGGTTAATTGTTTATCTTTTTATCCAAAAAGGTTGAACTGTCTTTCAAAAAATTTATGGATAAATCGATAGTTTTTTGTATTATTGAAGTCAGACGATCTCTTGCACGAATTACAAAATATTTGTATTAAAAAATACTACAAGCTAAATATAAATTAAAAAAAATGTAATTTTAGTTATTTGTATAATGTTATAAATTTATTCTTAGGGCAGTTAAAAAGTCCGGCTAAAACTATATTTGTATGGAGTAAGTGCGTATTTCAACTACAATTTGTTTGTTCATATCATGTAATCAGGTCAAGTCATTTTGTTCTTCGGTCATATTACTTTAATGATTATTAGGCACGCACCGAATATTCGGTTACTATTCGGCATTCGGCATATTCGGCACCTTATTAATATTCGGCCGAATACCGAATAGTAACTTACTATTCGACCGAATACCGAATAGTAACTTATTATTTGGCCAAATACCGAATAGTTAAAATCAAAGGCGCCGCCGCCACTCAGCGACAGCATCGTTGTTGTTTTATCTTTTATGCGATAAAGAGCTCGCAATGGATCTATATTGGGTTCACATAATGTGATATGAAGAAATGATTTTATTATTGTATATATAATAATATATATTTCAGAACTTTTTTCTGAATATTCACAAGCTACTTTATTGTCACATGTTTATATTATTTAATATGAATCATTCAATGGTTACACGCATGTGTTGTATCAATACAATTAAGTCATTCATTATATGAAATCTAAGCATTTCCAAATAAAGAGCATTTTGTTGAATATACTATTTATTGCAAACCTAATGATTATATATGGCGTTTTTAACGTTTAATTTTATCTTTCTTTTCTCCTTTAGAGAACCCTTGTCACTACACAACCCTGTATTTTCATGCTGTCGTAATTTTTATGTGTGATAAGCCTGTACCATAGACGTTTGGTTTGATCGTTGGTTTGTTCGTTTGCCCATAGAACATAATTTATTGGTTATTTTTTATGAGTGTTGGTACGTACAGAGACAGACAGTTGTTTTAGTGTTTTGGCGCATTTTATGTGTATCTGTTCTGTGAGCGGTTCGTTAAGTTTTACCGGCTACTTTGTAAAAGGTAATTATTTCAATTTTTTGATATGTGTAATATTCTCTAAATAAATATAGAAAATCTAGAAATATCTTACAACTAAAATTGATAATTTAAGTTTCTATTATTCAGTAGTTTTTAGTTTTGCACTATTAGGTTAGTTAATTTATTGTGCATACTGTTGCTTTTGTTCATGTCTTTAAGCACCATTAGTCTTCCAATTAGTCTTCCAAAGAGTTTGTAAATAGAATGGATAATCTTAAAATCGTAAATATTTCTTTTTTACAGAATTCATCACTCTTTCAAGATGTTTGAGGCACGACTTATCGCCAGTTCAACCCTTAAAAAGGTTTTGGAAGCAATTAAAGATTTGCTAAACGAAGCCACTTTTGATTGCAGCGATTCTGGGATACAAGTAAATATTGATAAAATACTGATTGAATATTTAGTGATACAAATGAAGACTGTAAATTTCTTTGTAGTTGCAAGCTATGGATAATTCTCATGTATCTTTGGTATCAATGACTTTGCGAGCTGACGGATTTGATAAATATCGATGTGATCGTAACTTGTCAATGGGAATGAACTTAGGAAGGTACGTTGTTTTCTAGAGAATATTACATTTTTAATATGTCTGATTTCAATAAAAGTTTATTTTACATTAAACTTATTAATATCTTGATCATGAAAATTATTACTGAACAATAATACAATAAATTTTACATGAAAGTGTAATATCTAATGTTTATAAGTGCAACTGTATTAATTTAAATATGTAATATTTGTGTTATTGTCTTAAATAAGTATACAGGCTGGTTTTGGTTAAATGGTAATATTACTGTACCGACTAGTTGGTTTTATTGAATTTTCTTTCTTACGAGATATTTAAAGATTTAGGTTTCACTATTTGTGTGATTGCATTGGACAACAACTGCTAGTTTTAAAATACTGATCGATTTATGATAAAATTACTGTTATCTAGGTTTTTTTATTGAGAAGTACTATACTACATATTATATATCACATATCATATATTGCAAAATACTCTAATTCTGAATGCTTTAGTGTTGTGAAACTTGTTTGGTGCACTGATTCTTCATGAATGATTTCTAATCATATTGAAGTAAGTTTTATCAAATACTATATTTAATTCTGAACTACTTTCTATAGCATGTCAAAGATTTTGAAATGTGCAAACAATGAAGATACTGTGACTATGAAAGCTCAAGATAATGCTGATACAGTAACTTTTGTTTTCGAGTCCCAGAACCAAGAAAAAGTATCAGACTATGAGATGAAACTTATGAATTTAGATCAAGAACACCTTGGAATACCTGTAAATATTCTATCTAAATATTACTTATTTACATTTAATATTATTAATTGTTGCATTTTATATTAGGATACCGATTATGCATGCATAGTTAGAATGCCTTCCCAAGAATTTGCTCGTATCTGTCGAGATTTATCTCAATTTGGTGAATCAGTTGTTATCTCGTGTACCAAAGAAGGTAATTTATATATTTAGGTGATTTTGCTGTAATATTTATTTACCATATTTAGTATGTTATTTATTTAATTAGAATAAGTTTTGTTGAAAATTTGGATATTGAATATCAGTTAATTTTCAAAACATCTTTTTTCTTTTCTAATATACAATGTTTTTGTTGGTCATAATCAATGCAAATGTAGTTATTAGCCCAATTGTGAAAATTGTATGAAATAAATGAGTAAATTCAGTTAAAACGAGAAAAAAAATTGTGTAATGGAGCTATTAAATATTATTTCATCATACAGGTGTTAAATTCTCTGCCAGTGGTGATATTGGTTCTGCAAATATAAAACTAGCCCAAAATTCCTCTGTTGATAAAGAAGAGGAAGCTGTCACAATCGAAATGCAAGAACCTGTATCACTTACATTTGCGTGTAAATACCTAAATTCATTTACAAAGGCAACACCTTTGTCCGGCCAGGTAAGTGTGATTGTGAGAATAATGAATTATTTATTTGAATTTTGATTACAATATTAACAATGAAATCATTTTAGGTTCAACTTTCAATGTCAGCTGATGTGCCCTTAGTAGTAGAATACCGCATTCAAGATATTGGCCACATTCGTTATTACCTAGCTCCTAAAATTGAAGATGATGACAGTTAAACATTAACTATTGTTCTTGTTGTTTATGTTAAGTTTTCCATAGTAAGCAATATTGATATTGTTGCTTACTATCATTTGTGCGATATTATACATTCAACATCTGATGTTTGTTGTATTCATGTGCCACAATACATCTATTTTTTATTCTATTGATATACAGTTGTTTTATTTTATTACTTTACACTATATTCAAATATTTTTATTTTTAAAAGATCTAAAATATTATATATTATAAATAGGTAATTTTGGTTTCTATCTGGAATAATCTCAACACAGCATTAAGTCTTTAAAATATTTAAAATTACATTTTTTTATATTGATTGGATAATTTCATTACATTGAAGTAATATCAAATCAAACTAATTTGAACTAAAATCAAATATGTAGCTATTTATTTTATATTGAACTTTTATTTTTATCTAGTTTCTTTGCACTTCTTAGATACATTACATCTTTATGCTAAATTTTTAAATTAAAAATCTGCTAGGTAAAGTCTATTTTGTACCAGATATGTTTTATGTACTGTGGTTGCTTTGGTGGTAAAGATGTTCAATTTGGTGATAATAATTGTTGACACAAATTTACTTAACTATGATCTATTTAAATGCATTTGTAAATAGATATATAAATCTTCAGAAAACTAATGAAGCAGTGTTCTTAAGTTTCACACTTATCTGAACTAAGCATCATTAAGGCAGAAATAGTTTGGCAACTACAGAATTGTGTTGTTGATCATATTTTATATTGAGCAACAATTGCAGCAGACAGTTAATTCAATTATTGCAGCTATGTAAGTAGTCTTTTTCACTACATAAATCACTGTTTTTTCATAGTTTTTTTTCCTAGATATCTTAAAAATATGATAAGATTTGTTATTTGGTTATACATTTATATGCTTAAGATGTGCTCAAACTATACGGTGAGCAATTCAAGGTTTGCAGTCAATGTACTTTTAATATTTTGCTGTCATAGCATAACTATTTTGTTTTTAATAAATCAAATGTAGATGTTTTGTTGTGCTGGTATACAATCTGGTTTAAAGTATAAAAAACAAGACACAGAATTCATACAAAAAATTTGCAATAATATTTCTAATTGCAGAGAACTTGCAAGCGAACTGGTAATTACGTTTAAAATGCTGATACATATGAACATTTATCACCTGTTGCACATGGTGCTTGCAAACATAAATTAATTGGGTGATGGATATTATGAACCTCCAAATAGCTAAATAAAAGAGTACAACTGTTATTATTGCTAGCAGAAAAATAAACGAGACCATCAAGCCAATCTGGGAGTAATGCTTGATTCTCGTCTCAACTCTTACCAGCAGGTGGGTGATGCTTGTGTTAATTTTACCACGTTAGTGAGTAGTTAGGGCTGGCCTTGCTGAATTGATGTTTAATATTGGGGGCCCAAAGCAGAGTAGAAGGATAGTACTGTCTGTGGTGTTTACTTTGGTGCTGACTTATGGTAATTCATCTGAGGCGACACTTTCAAGACTCGAATATTATGAAGAATGGCCGGACCAATAAACTATCTGAGTGCCTTAAGAGTATCTTGCGCATTCTGCACACTATCAAAAGGTAGCATGCTACCTTGTACACTGCAGTGTACATCACTTCTGTAACTTTGCCTCACAGAGTTTTAGCAGAGGAAAGAGCGACCAATGAAGAAAGTCATCAACACTGAAATACCATAAATAACTTTTCTATGACCGCAGAAAAATCGATAAATGGTTACAGTTTCACCTAAGCTCTAGGTAGCACTTAAAGGCTCAAAATTTTCAAACTATGTACATGAAATATTTTTTTCCTGTATATTGCAAGTTCTGGTACACCCTGTACATCGCTTTTTTTGTATATATAATCCTAGACAATATTAGAATACCCCGTGTTCATATTGTGTATATAATATTGTAGAGCAATACAAAATACATAGTTCTTTTTTAGCTATCAATATCAAACTAAGAGGCCAATTCCGCGATAACATAGCCGATACCCTGGCGTTGTTATGGCAATGCTATGTTAATCCTTCTTTCTTGGTACTAAAAACTGTAAAATGCTATCTATTTTCTGTATGATAAGGCGCTTTACACATAAAACCTTATGTCATTATGAATACATTAAATTCTCATATTGTCTAGGCCTTATGTTATAAATGCGCCTCACGAAGATGCAGTTATGATAACATTATTTCTAGGTTTGTTTATATGTAAAATACGCCTGATCGCACGGCGAATAGATAGCGTTTTCACAGTGTTTAGTACCAAGAAAGAAAGATAAGATAGAGTTGCTATAAAAATGTTACCGCAGAATTGGCCCCTAAGAGTGGTATATACTTCAGTGATGGCATGCTATGTTATATATCGGTTTGCATACAACATCGTACTGAATACAAAATCGTACTGAATACTGTAAACACCCAAGTGTCTGCTGTAGAGTCAGGCGTTTTAGATAGAAAACCTTTATTTTTCGTGCATATGGTATAAATACATAAATGGTCGAGGTGGTCTCTAAATATAAGTACTTAGTTTAGCAAATAGGAGTTTTGTGATTTCTCAACAAATAATTTCGTTATCCGCTTATGGTGCTTTTACTTTACTTTTATAAGTACTTTGATTTCTGATGCATTTACGTTATCATATTCTGCTGCAAAGAAACAATTAATACAGCCGCGTTTGCTTTCTGTGAGACTTCTGTGGTAGATTAGTTTATGGGGTCATTTTATTTTTATAATTCTTTATGGTGTTTCATGTCATAAACGCGCAGGTTTCATAAGCTTGAAAAAGCACCGCTTTGACGCATTTTAATAATTTAATTAAATGAATGCTGCCTATCATATTCACAATCCCATATGTCAAGTTTTTAATATTATTGATTGAATAATTGCAATATGTTACAGAGTTACTTCAAAATGTTTTCGAGCAAAATTATTTTTGCAATGGTACGAAACCGCTCTTTGAAGAATCTCGACGTAGTCATTGTATCAAAAACGCGTAGAAACTAGTTGAAAGTGGCATTTAGCCTTAAGGCAAGTTGCACGTACTTTCCGAAAAGTGTAATAATTGACCTAATCAACCGAAATTGTGATTTAGTTATTTAGATAAATATTTCAACTATTTATTTCGAAAATAAAGTTATCGTTAAATCTACACATTGCGATTTCCAATAGAATTTTGTTTCTCTTTTTTTCTCTCTCAAACACTTCTAAATTATCTGTAATTATATTAATTATACTGCACAGACACGTGCTTATAGGTCCTAAAATTGTAGTTTATTATTACAAATTTTAATAAATTGACAATGCTTGACTCATCACAACACAAAAGCAACTTTTGACACAAATTTTGACTATAATATTTTCTCAAACTTTAATTAATTTTTAACATCAAACTATGTGTCGTAGGGCCGTAACATTAAATTTTATAAGACCATGATATCTATTGCCAAAAAAAGATTAATAAAAATCGGCAAGCAATTCTTTTTCAACAGTAAATTTCAAGAAAACGGCTCGGTGTTTTTTACCTAAAATTAATCAGTGTCATTCTCAACCAATATCTCTCGAACAGTTTTTGATTTTTCAAAATTGAGAGCTGAAGCGTGGACGAAAAATTTTTCACTTTTCTGCTATTCACAAAGAAACGGCTCAGCCGATCATCGCACAAAACTGAGAAAAGATAATCCACATCGAAAAACATTGATTGGCTGTTAAATTTTTGAAATCGGTTTATCGATTCATTTTAAGCAAACGTTGATGAACGTTCGAATTTTGACAAAGCTAAAAAACGATACTAATTTTTGCAAACTTTGACGAATTTACAAAATTAAACGACTTGTCGTAGGGCCGCAATATTTTAGTATGGCATCTACCGTCAAAAAAAAATCATAAAAACTGTCGAAAATTTTTCTTTTAACACTATATTACAAGAAAACGGCCCGGCCGATCTTTACCAAAAACTAACAAGGTCGATTCCCAACCAATATCTTTCGAACGGTTTTTGAATTTTCAAAATCGATTCAGAATTGCGGGTTAAAACGTTGGCAACAAATTTTTGATTTTTCTGCTATTTATAAAGAAACGACTTGTGATCGTCGCGCAAAATTGATCAATGTTAGTTCTCATCGAGATATATCGAATGCCTTTTTTTTTTAAATTGGCCCAGCCGTTTTTGAGAAAACGTCGATTTACGGCAAAAAATCTGTTCACATGCACACACACATACTTTTTCCAAATTTGGTCTCATTCGATTCAGAATGGCTTGAAACATCGAGAAAATATAAAATTAGCGAATCGGATTTTTTGATGAAAACATAAACTTCTCCTTCTGGAAGTTAATTAACGTATAAATCGATTACAATACACTGTTGACAACAAAGTTATGCACAAGCATAATATCTATTATTAAAAAAATAATTGTTTATATGGAATAGTTAAGAAGGTTCAGAAGATCCGTGCCTCTGTAATTAGTCTGTCCATGCGAAATACTTATTAAGTCAATTAACATAAGTGCATTTAGATAATTGAGAGATGCGTTTTTGATTTTTCTGTTACACGTGGATTCCTAGTTCGTGATCGGAAAATTATCGTACCTGTAATGCTAAAGTACCTTCGACGTTGTTTTTTTTCATACAGATTGGTTCCAAGATCAAATATAAAATTATACCTTTAACTATCAAAGCGTTTAATCGTCTGAAATCTTGATAAAATTTTGTACCTGTGAATATTTGGAACCTATGAAAAATCAATTGAAAACTGTTAGACTAGTTATATGTATATATAACGTGATATCATGCAGTATTGATATTGATTTTTACTTGAAAATATAGACGAGAAAAATGTTTCCAATTGAAGTTAGCTCTTTCGGATATTGCGTTCATCGTGTCAAATGCCAACGAAAGAAATTTCTTACTGCATACTTTCCTGAATGGAATTTTTCGACTCATTGACTTACCCTCGGACAGAGCACCCATTATTTATATGCATATATTTGCAAATGTGTATTCTGACTATTGATTTTTTAAAATTTGTTCTTGGTCCTTTTTTTACATTTTAATTTAACGTTGAATTCCTGTGTTACAAAATCATCTTGTAGTTGCTTGCTGGTATAACCAGCATTATC